AAAGCGGCCAGGGGAGAAGCCGGGAGGGGAGATCTTTCGTCGGTCATTGGGTGGCCAAGATAACAAGCCCGAAGACAGAGGGGAGAAGAAAGTAAAAAGGTTAATGGACCAGGGGAGGGCCGCAGGCGCCCGGCGTGGGGCTTTTACGCCGACCCTGCCCGGCCTCCCCTTATCGCCGCGCTGACTTCCCCGCGGCGCACCGAGCGCATTAGGGCCGGCCGCAGCGCGCGCAGCAAGGCCACCGCGGTGACCTCGCGCGCGTCGTCGCCGCCGCCGCCGCCGCAGCCCGGCCCCTGCCGCGCCGGGCAGGCGGCCGCCGGCGACGCGAAGGGACCCGACGCCCGGCGCCCAGGGTGCGCGCTGCGCCTTCCCGACCCCAAGGGGGTACGCGGTGGGCCGGGGCAGGGCCTTGGGGCGACCTGCGGCTCTTCCGCCGCCGTCATCTGACATTTCTGGGGTATTTTTTGTTTGGAGAGAATTAAAAAATATACTTGGAAAAGAAAGAGGAGGGGGAAGGGAAGGGGAAGGAAGAAAGGAATGAACGAACGACAGACGGAGGGAGGGAGAGGAAGGAAGAAGGGAAAATGCAGAAAGAACGGAGGAATCCCCGTTAGAACTCGGTCTGTGGCTGCGGTCGGACTGACAGCCGCCGCGTGGGGGACGCCCCCCGGGCCCGGCCCCTGAACCCTGGAGAGGAGAGGGTGGGGACGCCCAGGTGACCCCGGTGTCCTTGGGCGCGAGCGTCCCCAGGACAAGAGGGAAATGTGGTCTAAGCGAGAAGGCCCCACAGATTTGGTTTTCAAAACAAATCTAAATTTTAAAACACGCTTGAGTCAGAAACGGTGTTCCTTTTCTGTCTGGAACGCCGCTCCGGCGGCCAGGAGCCCTGAGAAGGGACGCCACCAGAAGCTTGGGTTTGCTGGGGTCCGGGTCCCCGCCACGCGGGTCCTGGCCCTCCCCCGCCCCCCGGAAGCAGCGCGCGGCGGCGTCCCCAGACAGCCCTTCCGTGCTGGCCGCACAGCCCCCGCCCCCCGCCCCATTGGCTGCCGAGCTCGGGCTGGATTCGAATCGCGAGTCGCCGTGCGCGCGGCCCAAATAAATCAGCCCTGGGGACAGGCCGCGCCCGGGGGCCGGCCCCGTGCGAGGGTGCGGGGCACGGCTCAATCCGCAGGGTCAGCTCCAAGGGTATAAATGGTCCCGAGAGAAACGGTTTCGTTCAAAACTAAGAAATTCCGAAAGAGGGGACAGGCGGGGATGAAAGAAAAGGAAAGGAAATAAAATAAATTAAAAAAAAAAAAAAAAAGAGGGGAGAAAAAAAATCGCCCCGGAAGAAAACAAGGATTTCTAAATACACGTCTACCTAGGGCATTCTGGGAGTCTTCTGCAGTTTGGGGTTCACCTCCTCCCCCGCGCCGCGGGACCAGCGGGCGCACGCCGCAGAGGGAGCTCGGCGCGCGGGGCCTGGGTTCCCTGGGGGCGGCTCTGGAAACAGGCCTGTCCCCCGAGGTGTAGTCCCCAGAGCCAAAGCCGGCGCGCTGGGAAAACCTAATTGCAGAGATCAGACAGCCCGTTTCTGTCTGCACCAATCTTACGGGTTAACTAGTTTTGTTATTTTTAAATTAACTGACACGAAAAGCGTTGTGCTCTCCAACCCTTCGTTGGGCTAGAAAACGCATCCCACAAAACAAAACAGTTTGGGAAGGAGCCATTACCTATTTACCCCTTCGTTTGGGTCTCCTCTCTCTGTCTCTCATATATATATATATATATGCATAATATATATAATTTATATTTATATATTTACAGATTAGGAATTTGCAGAGTAAGATGCCGGGCCCCCTCTTAAAGTCGAATCGGTCAACGTCCATCCGCTGCTCCCCGCTGCCCAGCGGCGTCAGGGCCCCAGGGCCCTCCGCACGCGGCTGCGGGGCTGCAGGGCTGCGGGTAAACTCAACCCTGGAGGTCAGCGGTGAGGACTGTCCGGGAAACCCTGGCTGACACCCTTCCCAGCGAAGAGGAAGAAATGCGCTAGACACTCGTCAGGCTGTTCCTGGGGCTCCATCTTCTCTTCGGGGCTCCAGCTTGAAGGCCATTCACAGCCTGGACGCCAACTTAGCCAAGACATTTATTTTTAACAAATACGATAAGAACTTTAACAAAAATTACATTGAAGAGCAAACCTGAGAAACATTATTTCAAAACTGTAGGAAGTCACATACCCACCGCAGCTCCGACACTGCGTACAAACGGACTGCTGCAGAGCCCAGTCTGGCTTAGGAACCCGGTCGGGATTCGCGAAGGAACCGAACGAGTGGGACCTTCGGTGCCCCGGCGGGCGCGGAGCGGGTAGCCGAGGCCGGGCCGGTTCCTCGGGGAGTCGCATGCGATCGATCGAACGCAGGTTAACCTTTAAAGGCCGGCTCGGCGAATCTCGCTCTGTTCGTTTCCTCCCTTGTGCCTTTCGGAAAGGCAGCCACGCAGGACGTGGGGGCCGGCGCCGTGATTGTGGGGCCCCCAGGGGAAGGTAATAAAAATGGTCACATGGGACGAGGGCAGTTTAGGGACCTTCTTTACTCAGTAGCAAGTTAAAAATTCAGAAGCCTTTAGCAGCACCTGACAACGAAGGACGAGTAAAGAATTCCCCACAGCTTCCTGGATTCCGGCTCCCTCCACCCCCACTCTGCCCAGTCCAGTCCCCAGCTCCTCGCAGCGGCCACGGATCCGCGCCCCTGCGCCACCAGGGCTCGCACCTACAGACCCCTGTGCTGCCAGCCCTTCGAGGCTCCTCTCCCTTCCCCTGCTGAAAAACACCAACTAAAAATAAAGACAACAACAAAACCCAAACCCAGAGCCCAAACACTTTCAGGGAGACTGACCTTTAGAAAATCATTTACTTTGATTTACCTGGGGAGAAAAAAAAAAAAAAAAGTAAAAATCCATTCCCAACAAAACCACTCCTCCCGCCCTAGTTAATCTCTCTCTGGGCAGCCTTCTAGGGTCACGCCTGTGGGAAGAAGCCCTTTCTGAGAGCGGAGGGGAGAGAGACGCCGATCAGGGCTCCCGTGGCAGACACAGCGACACAGCGGCACTGATAACCTCGCGCCGTTCGTTCCCCGTGGCCGGCCCGCGAGCGACGGACCGCCGCGGTCTGCGCACCGCCGCGATAACCCCGCGCAGGGAGCAAAGAAAGGGGGTGTGTGTGTATGTTTGTGTGCGCGCGCGCGCGCCTGCCAGGGTGGGGGTGGGGAAGCCTCAATTTGCGCTGGGTCCAGAGAAGGTGACCTCCTGGCCCCTCTCTCCGTTGGCTTATCTGCCACTTACCTGGAGTTCTCCAGGGAAAGCTCAGAGCAAACGAGACAAAACTCGGAGAGCGTGTCCCGGGTGCGCCTGATGTGGAAGTCCCTTCTCCTCCCGCGCACCACAGGGACTAACCTTTCCTTACACCACGACCCCAAAGGTTAGCTGGGGAATGTCCTGAGCTTCCCAAAACTTCCCAGGAATTTGGTATATATTTTAAAGGCTCCCCAGCTCCTCTCCCAGACCGCAGGAGCCCCGATCCCCGACAGCCACCACTACCGGAGCCCCTAGCATCCCAAGGTCGGTCGGTCACACACAACTGCGGGCCACAAAGTTCATTTAGCGCGGAGGGAGGGGCAGAGAGGGCCAGTGGGGCAAACTCTTGTGCTCCCCATCCCATCGGAGGGCGCGCTGACCCTGGAGTGGACGCTCCCCTCCCGGCGCCGGGCTGAGCGCAGCCATCTCTCCCGGTGCCAAGGCTCCCTCCGTTGCCCCGCGTGGGCGAGCGTGAGAGTGTGTGTGTATGTATGTGTAACTGGGGGTGCCCCGCGGCTGGATGGGCGTGCGTCGCCAGCCAGGCCTGGCATGCGGTTGCCTCCGCCCCCCCAATCATTTATTAAGAATTATAATATTCATGAGCACACTAAAAATTATATATTACAAGAATCTGTTGTAGGATACCTAGACTTTAATTCCCCCAAAGGTAATATGACATTAACAGAAAGTGCAAGATTTGGAAGTCAAAAGCAGAAGAGTCCTAACATCACCTTCCTACCCCTAATGGCAATACTTCCACGTACAAGTCATTTTCTTTTTGAATCTCAGTTTCCTTTTCTATATATTGAAGATAATCTTTCATTTTCTCATAGGATGAAGTCAGTCAGATTCAAATGAAATATTATATGAGAAAATAAATTATGTTTTGCTAATAAAATATGTAATACTTATAAAAGAAATGATTTGTAACTTAGCAAAGAATAAGCCAAACTTCTGGCTTTCAGGAATGCATTGCTTCTAGAACAGAAATGAGATAATCTGTGTAGAACAAAAACAAGCAGTAAATAAAGATAGCTCTAAGACTGAAAAGTAGAAGTCCACAACAAGATAAAAAGAATTTAAAAAATGAAATATTCTTAAAGTAATGTTTAGCTATATGACAAAATAGCTCTTGTTTCTCAAAAAAGATGTGTCAGAAATTCTAATAGATTTCATTGGCTTTCAATGAAATAT